GGAAGGAAGGAAGGAAGGAAGGAAGGAAGGAAGGAATCTTAAGAGTTAGTTTTTTTCCTTCATCTTGCATAAAAATGCAGAAACATCCTAAAAACCCTCAGTTAAAGGAAACGGGAATATCAGTCTAAGGGAAAAGGAATATGTTAGTGTCAAATATTTAATAATAATAATAATAATAATATTGTTTTGATGGGACCATCAGGCCATAAACCTGGCATCCTAAGTCCTTCACAGTGAGCATGTGTTGATTTAAACACCCCCCCACTCCCCCAAACCCAGTCTGGTGTCACTCTAGCTGCCTCTATCGCTTTGTGTGACATGTAAATTCTAGCATCAGATGATCTATGGCTGCGCTCCCTGTGACCTATGGTGATAATAAGTCTGTCTGGTGGGGGGGGCGCATATTGACCGCGCTCTGCCTGGAAATGCGTCTTCATTTAGAGCCGTCCTGCACCCTCATATTCCCTAACTTAAATCGGTCCATGACCTTTTTTTGTTGTTTTTTTTCAGAGCAGTCCGCCTTGATTAGCGCATCAGGCGGGACAATGAGTGTCCGCCCTGTACACAGCCATTACCTGGATCCCTTTATCAATGTCCTGTAATTAAAATGTCACCGTTTAATTTTCAAGCCATCGCTTTCCTCTCGGCGGAGTCTTTCCTCCAATAAAAAGTGCAATCGAAATGCTCTTTTAACTGGAAACAAAAAGAGAAAGCGTTTAGGAGAGGGATCAATAGGCCCTTTAGTCCAGGAGGAGAATTGATTGGTCTCTAAAATGGGATTTATTGGGGTCATGGTTTTATAGGGTGCTGATACAACTGTTAATTATAAAACATTTGGCTGCAATTGCTGCTGTTATTAAACCTGTCCCGGTTGAGCTGGACTTGATTGATCTTTTTTTACATCATTGAGGCAAAAATGAAAACAAAGTGGGAAGAAAATGCAGCATCACACATTGGAGCAAATGATCACTGTGACTTTATGAGTGCTTTTTATATTTCTAATTGAAATGTTATTGTAGGCATACATTTAGACTTCATCAGTGGATGAGAAACAACATTATGATTTGGAAAGTGTTAGAAAATGAGAAATAACTGTAAACAGGCAGTGGCGCCACCAAGGGGAAGACAGGGGAGGCGGTGGCCCCTCCTGAGATTGGTTTTCCTCTTATATTTTGATATCTTTAAAAAAAAAAATTCAATATGAATTTACGCCAAAGGTAGTAGGACTGCTATTTCTATGTATTTATTTATTTATTTCAATTTAAAGTAAATGCATTTTTGCTCATTTTTTAGGATTCACTTCTTAGGCAACTAATTATTCCCATTGCTATTTGCAAGATAATGCAGGACTTTTGGGTTTCATTTGGTGCTAAGAGAATATTATTCTTTTCAAAATTATTAAGACACACCCCTACTTCCAGTTATACACACACACACACATATATATATATTTATATATATATTCATATTTTCTTCGTAGGGCATTTTAACTATGACCTTGGTAGAAGTACACTGCAAAAACAATCTAGAAATAAGTCAATACTTCTTAAATTAAGTGTATTTACCCTCAATTTGAGCAGATGAATAAGATTATTTTGAATGTGGAATCAGTATTTTTATTCTTAGAATAAGATAATTAGATAATAAGCACTTGAAATAAGACAATGTTGTTGTTTTTTCTTATTTTCCATGTAAACTGTCTTGTTCCATTGGCAAATTGTCTCACTTATCTCCTCAATTCAAGGAAAAATGCACTTATTTAAAAAAAAAAAAAAAAATACTTATTTAGATTTCATTTTTTCCAGTGTAACAGTCCTTTTTTAAAAATATTTTTGATCATATAAGGACAACTAAAAAGGATTTATCAGCACAAACAATGAATAAAGAAACCTGATGAAGTTTGAGGGGAAGAGAAAGGGGAAGCAAAGGAGCTCAGATGGGTTTTCAAACATTTTATTTTTTATTTTTTAAGCCTTACTGACAGAAAATGAACAAATCTACATTTGTTCACTCATGCTGAGGCTCACCTGCTGGGTTTTTAGACAGACACCTGAAGGTGCATTTCTCCTCCAGGTTAAAAGCTTTCTGTGCATATCAATGAAGCCGGCCTGGTCATTTGTATCCAACAGGAATAATAAAGGGAGCTCGCTTAAAATTACAGCTGAAATGTCTCTAATTAAAAACTCCTCGCTGCTGATCTGCAGCCGCATCAGCTCACGTTTCCCCAAGAATAAACGGCGACAAAAGGCTGCATTCAGCTCTGCGGCCTAAATAATTAAAAGGAGAGGAATAATTACAGTATAAAATTGTAATTATTGGAGGGGGGCTGCGGGGGAAGCCTCTCCACGGTGAAAGAGGAGAGGATGCGCTTATAGGATCAGGTTCAGCATCAATATTGCAGGGAGGTAAGAGAATAAAAGTAGATGACACTAAACTCTCATCTGTTCAGGAACACTCTGTTCCTGCCTCCAGTGTGATGGGTGACAGTATGTGCTTGATTCTCATTATGGTGCCTGAAACAATCAAGTGTTTTGGCTTCTGTTTGACATAGTGGCTGGGTCAGCAGGGCTGGACAGAAATGTTCTGGGGTCTGCCTTCCTATTGGGCCCCTTAAACCCCCCACCATGCACAAATTGTATAAGATTTTTAACATAGGTGTCTGTTTATTTGTCTATTCTAGACTCTAAACACAACAGAAACATCAAAACTAAAGACACTTTAGGATGATATGTGTATAGTTCTATTTATTTATTTACTTATTTATTGATGTGCTTTAATGTTAATGGATCACAAACGAAAGAACCAAGATGTATAGAAATTTAGTTGGGCCATGGCTTTAATAATATATGAACACTTTCAGTGTATTCTTATTATCAGTTCATATGAAATCGTACGAAAAGTTATGCACAGTATTTTGTACGTTTTTGACGTTTTTTTCATCGTATTTCGTCGTATTGTTACATCTTGCCTCGAGACAAGATATCCTTGCGCATGCGCATCTTACGCACCATTCAATAACATACAATTTAACATACAATTAACCCTAACCCTGACCCTAACCCTAAGATACAAAACAGCAAGCAACCTATACATCATGAAGTAATTATTGCACTGTCCGTCCCAGTTTTACGTCCGTCCGCGGATCTGCTTTTTTCGTCTGTCTGGCTGCACATGCGCACTGATATGTTTTTCGAGGAAAAACGTCAAAAACGTACGAAATACTGTGCATGACTTTTCGTACGATTTCATACGAACTGATAATGAGAATATGTTGACACTTTGAAGATTAATAACCTCTAAAATTTATTGAAAATACCATTTAAAGAAAAAAATAATAAGTTATGAATCAAATAAACCAATTCAATGATATGATTTAGAGGAGTTAAACTGACTGAGTTATTTTGAAATGCCACAACAAGATGTTCTGCATCATGGTTATCCTTAAGATTTACTTAGGAAGAAGAACATAAAAAAAAAAATAATAATAAAAGGTGATTTCTTTTTCCTAAGGGATCATCCTGGTGCTCATCTCTGAATATTTTGGCTAAATCCAGAAGATAATCTCTTAATTATAACTTAGAAAACGTGGGCTTTGGACACCTCTGTAGATTTCTGTTTTATCAGACAATCTTAAATGTGTCGGTTTTTTTTAGAAATAGGATTTTTAGTTTCTTTTTTAAGGCTTATTTTCTTATGCATCATAGTCTGTGTGTCCTTGCACCATGCATCATATTTTTAAAATGAATGGCTCTCCTCAGCATTCTTTATAAAACAATCCCTTATCTCTCTGCTTCTTTCTTTTCTGTGTGTGGCTGGGGGTCCATCAGGTTGTAGCCCCCATGATCAGCCCTTTAAAGGGGCTTTTAGGGACACCCCTGTATTTTAGACCTAATTTCCAGAGTCTCATCTTTAACCAGAGGTTAAGTAATTGATACAGCAAAGCGTCCAAGCTTTTAAAACTTTGAAGATTTCTATTTTTTAAGTCAATCGCCTCTCAGCTTCATTCAGTTTGCATTAGCATAACACTTGACTAAATCAGGCCGAAGGATCCCACATCTATTTCAGATTTCTAACCTTCATTTATTCTTTTTTTTTTCCTCCCCCAAAGCTGCTGAGTGATTTGCGTGGCCGCGGCGTGGAAGCCAAACAGATGGTGGTGAAACTTGATAAATGAGCCAGGGCCTTTTTGGGCTTCTTGCTGCCTGCAAAGCGCAACTTGCGCAGCGGCTCGCTTCCACTGCGGGGAAATAAAGCAAGATGCGCGCTGATCCTTAATGCAAATGAAACGCTTTGATCAGTTTGACCCCAGGGGCCTCCGGGGGGTCTTTAGTAAGGAGTGTCTGAGTGAGCCGCTTTACGCACTTACCATTTAGTTTCTATTTATTTAGAACTATTGTAAAGTTTTAATTTATAACCGTTTTTTGTAATTAAATACCAATAATTCTGAGGCCAAATGTCTCCATATTTGGGGTCAGCGGGGGCCTAATTGGGAATAACGCCTTTCTTTCTGTTTTGTGCGTCAAAAATTGTGAATCTTTGTGTAGCTTCGCGTGTTTATGTGTTTGAGAGAGAATGGGGAGTAGAGAGGGAGAGCTATTACACATCAGCATGACGGCAGGAGGAGGAGGAGGAGGAGGAGGAGGAGAGAGGTGCCATGTGCTTCCTGTCTACACGGTATTCACCTCCCAGAGCTCAAACAGGATGGAGGTCCTGCGCGTCGCTGCTGTTTCTTCCTGAGCTTCAGCCAACTGAGAGAAAGTTTGCAGTTTTTTTGTGCTTTTTTCCTGCGTTTTTATCACCGTTTTCTATCCGGACAAAAATATTCTCCAAATTTCCTCTCCTTACTTTTTTTTATTTTATTTCTTTCACCAAACATCGCTGGAGCGTCTTGTCTTTTTAGAAGAGGAAGGTAGGTGATATTTTAAGGTTTTAAAATAATTGGAATGCAAAACGGATATTATTGCTTGCATTTATTTATTTTTCTTTCTTTTTTGGAATAGAAAAAATGTAGTTTGTAAGCTAAATGATTAATATGTGATGATAAAGCAGGGAGCCAGCTATTAGAAACCTGCTCCGTAGATTTGCGCGGCCTTTGAAAACCCCGCAAAGAGTCGATCATTGGCGCAGGTGAATGTGACACAGGCCTTCTCCAACCTAATTCCTGCCTGCAGTCTGAGGCTAATCTGCGCTGAAGCTTTAATTATATATAGGGCTAGTCTTTTATTAACAATGCGGGGACGCACGCTTGGATCCGTGTAATTACCAGAAAAGCAGCTTAGAGTTGCTCTTTTCTTCTCCGCTAAGCGCATTGGCGCAGCTCAGGCTGCATTTCCCTTCTGTCCTTTTCCGTGTCTAAGGATCTTATGTGACTCTTAAGTAGCTGCTCCGTAAGTGCTGAGCCGATTTGAAGATAAGGGGAGCAGGAGAGGTCCTCCTTCCACGCAGGAGGTTGAGTGAAATCCGGGAGAAGGAGGCCGGACGCGCAGATGAAGAAAATTAGGAGAAGTTAAGAACAAGGGCAAAAACTAAATTCACTTTTGCAATCGAACAAACCATATAAACTATTATTATTATTATTATTATTATTATTATTATTATTATTATTATTATTATTATTATTATTATTATTATTATTATNTAAACTATTATTATTATTATTATTATTATTATTATTATTATTATTATTATTATTATTATTATTATTATTATTATTATTATTATATATTTTCCGTATTACTGATTCATTTATCTTAGTTAATATTTGCATTTGAAGGTTTATTTTGACGCAATTCGATGAAAAAAAACTCCTAAAATAGTTAATAGTGATACAGATGTCTTCCTTGTTGTAATAAAAATATATACAATATTTATAACATTATTTGATTTTGTATTTTTTCTTTACTCATATAAATAAATAAATATACACATATATATACATAGGAGTGTGTGCTTCATTCTTTTTTTAGCAGGCCTAATAAGTAGCCTGTTTCAATTATAATTTTGTGATTTTGATGGTTAGGCTTCCAGGGATGGAGTCGATGCCCGGACATCTTGGAGACGCGGGACGAGACGCCAGCTCTTCCCCGAGTTTAAAGCAAGACGCTCCGAGCTTTTCCAGCCCCAACTCCCTCAAACCGAACCAAGTGAGTGAGACCTCCCTGTACGGGGTGCCCATCGTGTCTCTGGTCATAGATGGGAAGGAGAGACTCTGCCTTGCACAGATTTCCAACACCCTTCTGAAAAACTACAGCTACAACGAGATCCACAACCGCCGGGTGGCTCTGGGCATCACCTGCGTGCAGTGCACGCCCGTCCAGCTGGAGCTCCTGAGGCGCGCAGGGGCCATGCCCATCTCATCCAGGCGCTGCGGGATGATCACCAAACGGGAGGCCGAGCGCCTCTGCAAGTCCTTCCTAGGAGCGCACAGCCCTCCGAAGCTGCCAGAGAATTTCGCCTTTGACGTGTCCCATGAATGCGCCTGGGGCTGCAGAGGCAGCTTCATCCCCGCCAGATACAACAGCTCCAGGGCCAAGTGCATCAAATGCAGCTTTTGCAACATGTATTTCTCCCCGAATAAGTTTATTTTTCACTCTCATCGCACTCCAGAGTCCAAGTACCTGCAGCCGGACGCGGCTAACTTCAATTCGTGGAGAAGGCACCTGAAACTGACGGACAAGAAACAGTCAGAGGATATAAACCACGCGTGGGAGGATGTTAAGGCCATGTTCAACGGGGGGAGCAGAAAGAGGACTCTTCCCATGAGCGGCTCGGGAATGTCTTCATCGTTGAAGTCGCAGACCTCCTCCAGTTTGGCTCCAACTAGTTCCCCTGAGATCCCCCACAAAACTTTACGGTGCGACGAGGAGCAGGGAAGCAATAATTTAAGTTTGGCTGGAGGCGCGCGGAGCTACCCGGTCATCCCTGTGCCCAGCAAGAGCTTTGGCATGCTGCAGAAGATCCCCCCACCCCTATTCCCCCATCACCCCTATGGTTTCCCCAGCTATGGGCTGTGTCAGAAAAAGAGCGACGCAGTGACTGATGGGAACAAATCCGCGGTTCCGGGTGTGTTCTGGCCCGGAGCCAAGGACTCCCTCTACCCCGCTTTCCCCATGTTCTGGCCCACAGCAGGAGGCCTGCCCATGCCACCCTACCCGGGCGCCCCACCTAAACCTCCAACTGAGCGTCCGGGTGTCCGGCAAACTGAGTTGGACCTTTCTGACCAAAGCGATCGGGGCGCAAACACACCCAAAGACACAACCCCGCATCCTCACCATGAGCGCAGCCCGAGCTCCCAGTCCTCCTCCACTAGAAACGACGAGGACAGATCCGGAGACGAGGCCTCTCAGAGGAAGATCAGCTACATCTCAGCCTTCAGACCCGTGGTCAAAGACGCGGAAACGATCGCCAAACTCTACGGCAACCGGGACGGGTTCGGCGCGCGTCCCGGCTACCTGTCCCCGGATTTCATCAGCGAGAGCTCCAGCTACAGATCGGCGTCCCCGGACAGGGACAGCGTAGTGGACGATGAGGACGACGATCCAGACGTGGACGTGGAATCCAACCGGGGTCCGGAGGAGGAGGAGTCCATCCGGATCTCACCGGGTGGGGATGTCCGAGGCTCCCCTGCGCAGGAGCGGCTCTGCGCTGCAGCCGAGGAGGGCCAGCAGCGGCCTGACTGCCCCATCAGCCCGGGGGCGGCTGGGGCGTCACCGCAGGCCTCATCGGATGAGGAGCGACAGATGCGTAACGGCTCCCCTCCTCATGAGGTGAGATTAGATGAATTGGAGCTTTAATGATCCCCGGAGGGAAAGTTGGACAGAAGCAGCAGAAGTAAATGTGGTCAAAAATGCTGACCTGCAAGATTTAGGCAGTCAAATGGCCTTTGCTCTTTGGCTAATAAAACCAGTTCCCCCTGAGCAAAACATTTAATTATTATTTAGATTTTTTTTAAAATAAAAATAAGAAATATCTTATTTTTTTATTATTATTATTGTTATACACAAACCTTTAAAAAATGTGAAATGCGGGTTTATTTTTTCCCCAAATAGGCCTTTTATTTTTTTTTATTTCACACAATCTAATCAATCTAATTAAATAGCTTTTATGTTTTTATTTATATTTAATAGATCTTTTTTATATTTTTCAAACGGCTGTAATTATGTGAAGAACCGCAGCAAATGGCCTGTAATTGCTCTCTGTTTTGCAGGTGTTCCCTCATGAAAAGGACGCACCGATGCTCCTCCTGAACGACCGTCCTTCCTTCAGCTCCAAACCACCCAACAGACCCAGCGGTATAATTATTGATCCGATTTATTACCTGCTGATATATCCAACCCAAATCTTTAGAAATCCCTTAAACTGAACCCCCTGTATGCAGGTATCCATCACATGGCTGAAGCGCAAACACAGCATGGCGCAACTTCCTATTCAGAGAAGGACAGACAAGGTTTAAAATTATTATTTATATCCCAAAAAATTCAGAAATTTTCACATATATATTTTTTAAACCATAAAACAGCTTGCAGCGACTTTGATTTTTCCTTTATTTGATTATTATTTAATATTTATGTGCAGGTGATGGAGCTTTACGCATCGACATCAGTGTGCATGAAAGAGATCTGGAGAATATGGCCAAAGGTGGGGAGCGTTTTAAGGCTCATAACCTAAAAAACAAGACAATTATTTGTATTATTTCATGACATAGTAAAATTTTAATAGATGATAATTTTTTTTCCATGATCTTTTTAATTCCTAAACTAAAACCCGCCCCTTTATCAACCTAAACATCCCCAGTCTGTTAGAATAACATTAAATACTGATTTCCACCTGATTTGAAATGTTGCTGCTAAAGAGATGCACGCCCAAATATCCGAATGCGAATTTGCATTTTATAGGCCTACAGTGTTTCCATAGTTGTTAACCACTTAATCACGAGATGTAGGAGTTTTGACTTATTATTGTAAGGGGAAATCGTTTAGAGGCTATTAATATTTTAACGAACAGAGCCATAACCCCGAGGCTCGGCAGCTAATTATTTTACAACGCTTGGAAAAACCCTGGGACTCCGTTATTATCGTCTCCACCTCCAGGCAATGCATGGCAATTACTGCAGCAGCCTGGGAGAGAGAGGGGGGGAGAGAGGGGGAGAGAAGGGGTTATCAAGGAAGGAGATGCACCTGAAGTTGGTTTTATTGCAAGGGCTCCAACTAATCCTTACCAGCAGAAATAAAAAAAAACAGGATATGTTTATCATTTTTAAATATATATATTTAAGACAAATAAATAAATAGATAAAATATCTAACAGGATGTTAAATGTTCTTTTTTTCTCCAGAGGAATTGCAGAAGCAGCTGGTGGAGCAAGTGGAGCTGAGGAAGAAGTTGGAGAGAGAATTTCAGCATCTGAAAGGTATGATGGGGACAAAAGCGAGTTAGTTAGTCGGACTGGATCATTTCTTTGAGTCGATCTGTATGATGAGGTTCCTGGTTTTCCCCCCTCAGATAATTTCCAGGATCAAATGAAGCGTGAGCTGTCCTACAGAGAGGAAATGGTCCAGCAGTTGCAGATTGTTCGAGGTGAGTCTCTTTCTGTTAGTCTGGGCAGTGGATTTAAATCAGCTTTTCTTTAAGCCACAAAAGTTAAAGTTCAATAATTATTGGCTTTATACGATTATACACTGCAAAAACAATCTAAAATATCTTAAATTAAGTGTATTTAACATTAATTTGAGTAGGTAAATAAAAAAATTTGCCAATGGAATGAGTATTTTTATATTAAAAAGATATAATTAGATAATATGCAGTTGAAATAAGACAATGCAATTGTGTTTTCTTATTTTAAATGTAAATTGTCTTGTTCCATTGGCAAAGTGTCTCAATTACCTCTTCAATTCAAGAAAAAATGCATTTATTGCAAAAAAAAATCACTTTTTTAGATTTCAATTTTTTGCAGTGTAGAAGGAAAAGTGACACTTGCATATTGAAATAGTAGAGTGTTTTACTGTAAACTCCATCTTTGTTTTTTTATTTATTTTTGCTGTGGCTGAGGGGATTAATGGATCTCTATCAAAGGTGAAACTGAAGCCACGTTGTTTTGTTTGCAGATGTTATTTTCTCCTAAATCATGCTCTGGAAAATTGAATAGACAGACCATTATGTAGCTCTGTATCGCTTACATGCAGCAGACTTCAACTAATGCCACCCGTTAAAGGATTGGTTTAATGTTACAGTCATTTAAATACAGGGTTCAAGTACACAGAGGGGTCAGTCTAAATACCACAGGGGCAAACAGCACACGTTACACTCCTCCACACACTGTTTACTGATTTTGTTTGTTTTTACTTTCCTCCATAATCATTTTTGACCACTTATTTATTATTATTATTTTTTTACTTCTTTATTTTTATTTTTATTTTTTGATAGACACTTTGTGCAGCGAGTTGGACCAAGAGAGAAAGGCTCGTTATGCAATACAGCAGAAACTAAAAGGTAATTTCTAAGTGGTCCACAGAGGGAATCAATCATTATTCACATTTTTACCCACAAGCTCAAATGAATATGCAAGTGCTACTTTTTTGTTGTTTCGTTCGGCCTCTGCTGTGTTCAGATGTCAGTATTTACAGTGCGGCACAGTTAAAGTGAAGCTTCTCATTTTAAATCTGACTTGAGGCAGTGGAGAGCACCACTGGCCACTTTATCTGCTTCACACTGGCTGGGAAGTATATTCATTGTGAGTGATGAGGAAAAGATGGTTCAAACAAAGACAATCAAATTAGTTTAACCAGTTTATTATTTTTATTTAAAGGGAAAAACAAACCATTTCTATTTTTAAGAGATCTGACCAGAGCTTAGCTCATCAGATTATCAATGCTTTCATCTGCTGATGATTTTCTGGATGTGCAAAAAACAGATGCATTTTGTAAAGAAGCTTCAATAATAATGAAACAAAGCAGCCAAATATTCTTAATCTCTCTTTTTATTTTTGGGGCATTTTTAACTACATCTTCTCTATTCTTCTTTTGCGCTGCTGTTCTGCTCCCAGTAAAAAGTCAGCTCCTCCCACTGTTTCATTACATGAATGCTAATCAGTTGTCTTTAAGCTATACCTCAGCTTTACCATTTGGATAAAATATTTACGGTACTTTCTAATAAAAAAAAAAAAATTAATTTCCTTAATGTTATTTTATGATTAGTATTTAAATAACATTATAAAAAAGTGCTTTAAAAAAACTATTTAAAAAACACACTATGTCTGTGTTAGCAGCATTGCTGAAAGGTCGACCTCTGTGTAGGAACATGTTTGTTTTTTAACAAAAACCATAACTCTCTCATTAACAAGGACCAGTGAGGCCTGTTTACTTTCAAAGACTGAAGAACAGAAGAAGGACTCATTTCTTAAAATGTTTAATACGTGACTCAGGCTGCTATTTCTCCTCACCAAACACATTGAGAACCGGAATTCTCAATGTGTTTGAGTTCATCGGATTTTCACTCATGTCCGAAACAATCAAAGGAAACTAATTAGATAAAACTTTCCTTCATTTCTTCTGAATCTGGAAAACCCTGAGCGATACATATCTGTGAGAAGTGATAAATATTCATCATTAGCAGCGTTCTTTTCTTGCATTTTTTGCATTTGTAAAGACTTATTGTTTCCAACCAGGAAGAAAAAATGTCCCAAACCGTAATTAGAAAGGTGCTTACAAAAGAGACATTTTAAATATCAAATGAAACCAGAGCAGGGTTCTTTGAAGAAGCTCAACTGCAAACCAAAGGACTGCAGAAATGCCAAAGGATTGTCCGTAACAGGCCAGTGTTGTAGCTACTAAACTAAGAAAGGGGGGAAGTGATGCACTGACTTTGTTCATAACAGTTATTAGGGAGACAAGTTTATTCATATTGCACATTTCAGCAGCAAGACAATTTACTGCAGATGAGAAAAACACCTGCAGGCTCCATTTCATCTTCAAGGAGCTGTGAGGTTGAAGCTTTTAAGCTGTTGGTAAATGTGTCATTTCACCTTAAGTTGTTTATGTTTGAATGGAATAAGCTTCTCAGAGGATATCGGTCTTTCTTTTTCTGCATATAAGAAAATGAGGCTTGAAAGTTAAAGAGAAAAAGCTGAAAGCTCCTGTTTAAAAGAATCCTTATTGCAAAACATTTAAATCACTCAAGATAAGGAAATTAATATTGACCCTTGAGATAACTGAGATACAAAGCTGTGTTTTCAAGCAGCGTGTCAAAAACTTTATTTTTAATTCACTTAAAGAAGAAAAAAGAAATCCAACCTTTACTACTCTGGCTGCAGACTGAACATCTATTACCTAAAAACTCGAATTCCTCAGCGAGAAAGATGATGGCTGAATTAAGGGGGAAATTAATTATGAGATTAGGAAAGAGAAAATTTACACATTTGATTTTTTTTCCCCAAAAATTTAAGATATCAAAACAAGATGCATTGAGCTCCCTATGTTCACAAATCAGTAGTATCAGTAATAATGATGAAAAAAAAACAAGAATGAGAATTGATGCTGATTAGTTCATAATAACCTGAATATTCTGCATGAAAAAAAAAAATCACTGATTGATACACTGAAGTTACTGTAGCCAAACAATTATATTATAAATATATTTTAATTACATTATAATTAAATGTTCTTAGAGAATAAAATCCTTGTGCGCTGTTTTTGAGAAAAATGTAAAGAAGCTGTTTAGAGTTGCTAAACGATTCAAACATTTGTGTCCAGACAGACGTACAATAATGAAAAAAACCTTTACATTGTGACAATGAGGAAAAAAAAAAAAGTAAATCATGATAAGCATGATTTTCATTAGGGTATGAGTCAATAACAGCAGATAATGTCCAAAAAAGGGTTCACTTTCTGCAAAGACTTCTTTTTGTTTGTCCCATACTGGGACACTTTTTAACTTAAATGAAAAAGCCTCGTTTACTCCTGACCAAGAAATGCAGAACTGCTAAAACGTTAAAAACCACCTATGGTCACTTGCACAAACTCCTAAACATTTTGTCTTACTATAACCAATTTCAGTGTATATGAGTATGATTCAAAATATATTGCGGCAGATTTGTATTCAGCTTCATTTAATCTGATACTTTAAATATAATACAAAACAATGCAAAATCTCACAGAGAACCGTTCAGTCCAAGATCTTACAAAATAAGAAATATAGAAGAACTGCCAACCTACAAACATTTGCACACCACCATTACTGACATACTGAGGAAGCAAACTGATAAACTGATACATTATCCAATGCATCAGTTTATTAACTTGCTGCAAGTTCCATTTGTGGTAATGTTTGAAACTTTTAAATAAGAACAGGCAAACTGACTTAGAATCACAGTACTTTTATGGATTCACTGGGGGCAGCAGCCCCAATTTCAAAGACCTCTGCTCTCCAATGTTAGACACGGAGGTGGCAGCAACATGCTGAGGGGACGGTCTTCTCCATCAGAAACACGAAACCTGTTCAGTCAGTAAAGCTGTTGATTGATGGATGAATGGGGTTGCATTCAGGGCATTTCTGCAAGAAAATCTTCTAGAAGCTACTGAGGACTTCAAACCGGGACAGAAGTTGACCTTCTACAGGGCTCGAAACATAAAGCGAGACGTACAGTGGAATGGGTTAGATTCAGTTTATCTATATAGCACTAAATTTACAACACGTCATCTCAAAGGGACAGCTCAAGTCTAATTATACCAAGAGGTTCCAGGTCAAGAAGGCATGCAGCTTTAACTGCTTCAAGTTAAACACATCTATCATCTATCTGGCATGTAGCAGCTAAGCTCTGCTTTGTGCTGATCGACCACATTAGATGATGAATATATAAAAGTATAAAGACATTTTAAAAGCAGTTTTATCAAGACTATAACAACTCTGTGGTGTTGCAGTAATTAAAGATCCTACCAGTTTTTTTTTTGTTGTTTTTTTTTGTTTGTTTTTTTGTGTTTGTTTATGTGAAACATTCAGTAATACTTGACCTGGATTACATTCCGCTGAGTCTTGGTCTGACTCCAACCTTTCCAGACCCTGTTCTGCTGCATGCAGGATTTGATATATCATAAACATATATCATTTAACATATCACCAATGATAAAACAATAAAAAATGACAAAGATATTCAAAACATATCATTTCTAAATGTTGTATCAGAACATCTTTTATGGGGCACATTTAATAAGGAGATTGGATGTAGCAGAATCTGTCAAGCATTTAAACTGACAGTCCTACAAGAGAAAAGAACTTGAAAGGTCCTCCTCTAAACTCAGTAGAAATTATCCGTGTGCATAAAAACTCACCAATATCTAGTCTGAGTTTTTCTGCTGGTCAGTAGAAAAGGTAAAGAACAGCCTTGGAGTCATTAGGTTATGATCCCACTCACTGATATGTAGTTTTAATTACGCAAGGCAGGTTTATTCATATAGTACAATTTAGCACAGAGACAATTAAAAGTGCTTTATATGAGTTAAACAATAAAATAAAACAAAAATCAATGAAAAACAAACAAAGTTAGCTTTTGTTTCTGAAATATTACAGACATGGAGTCACATTCTGACCAGTTTAGGTCATATTTCCCCTAATATAAAGTTCAAACTTTAACTTTAAAACTTTAACTTTGTACATATTCTAGTGTAGTAGTATCCCAAATTTTTGTGGTGATGTTGACTCGCTGGTTAAGGTACCAGAACTGCTGCCTGTGACAATATGATTGGCTGAATGTTGCCATGACTTTGCAGAGTATTGTGGACAATGATATAATACCGTAATGCAGATTTATGAGAAGACCGAAAAGATTTGTTTTTGATTAACTTAGTAACTGCAGCTTTGCTCAGTAACTAACAATTTAGCTTCTTTTAGCTCAGACAGTCCCCATATTAAGCTACACAATTTCTACAAGTTTAATAAGCACACGTAATTTTTTCTAAGATGTTCCATTCGTCCTCCCCTGCCCTCAGACCTGAATGAAAAGAATAAATAAAACTCTGGTTCTCACCTCGCATAGAACGCACTATTTGCCTTTAAGATTGAAAATTATTGATTTCTACTTTTGGCTACTTTAGGTCGCCAAAGGAAAAGTAAAATGATAGTTAATATAGGTAATGGTAAAAAGAAAGCTCAGAAAAGATTTGACTCTTCTGCACTAAGTTTGTCCAAGAGGTGATGCCGTATCGAGACATATTCAACTTGTAATTTAAAGCTAATCACAATTTTTTTAGCAGTCTTTGTTGTTTATTTTATTTTTTTACAAGTTCAAGGGATAAAATTAAGATTAAAAAATATAACCTTAACGAAAGAAACAACGCAGTCTGATTTTGTTGAAGATTTTCATTTTAACATGAATGTAAGAACTGTGTCTTTTTTTGCCTTATTAAAAAAAGGCATGCTACTACTTTTAAAACATGAAAAAATGATTGGTTACTGTCTCTTTAAAAATGCTTTCTGCCTTTTCGGGTTGGCCAAATTTGCAACTTTTTAGGATTGCATTCAGGGGCCTTAAAAATCATTCAGAAGGCCTCAAATGGCCCCCGCTCTGCATTTTGGATTTTGCTCTAGAAAGTCAAAATTAAAGTAAAACAGTAGATTAATTACTAACCAACCTTTTCATTGTTGTTTTTCACCCTCATGTTCTCACTGATGGGCTCCTTCCCCCCTAGAAGCTCACGACGCCCTTCACCATTTCTCCTGCAAGATGCTCACTCCTCGTCAGTGCACTGGAGCCTGCACCTTCAAGTCACCTCTGCTGCCCCCCTAGTGCCACTGTCCTACAGCTGACTGCAACCCAGCCTGATAAAAAAAAAACAAAAAAAAAAAAACATGTTTGAAGATCCAACCTCGAGAGCCTTCATGTGTTCACCTCTTCCACCGAGGATTCCTGCTGCAGCTGCTGGTGCCACTGCTCTGCAGATACACCTCCATCAAGGCTCTGGAGGAGATGGATTCTGCAGCAACCTCTCCTCCAAACAACTGGACTCTTATGTTAAAGAGATCATGCTGTGAATCAGAGGATTGCTGATGCAAAGCTGCAAAGCTAAAACCAAGGAGGTCGCTGAATAAAAACTCTTTGCTCTTTCACTATCTGAAGAGAATAATGCTACATTATTTAAATAAATAAAAATATATATATCACGTGACAATGTGCAATGGCTTGTAAAATTGTGATTTTAAGTTCAACTCTCATTTGTTAGATTTGGTTGCATATGTTTTTACATGTATTTATAATGTTCCTTGGGTTTGTACACTGTGTATGTCATCAAGCACTTTAAATGGACAACATTTTTAAATTTGGACACCAAATTTGCTCCTCCAGTTTGTTTGCGTGTGTTATGAATACAGCACATAGTTATGAGCACTTACTGCAGCCGCCCTTCGGGTTTTTCACTTCAGATTATGGAGGCGAAAGAAGCACCATTAAAAGGAAAAGAAAATGCACTGACTGCTGGTTACGAATGTTTGCTTCTCATTTTTCTGTTTTCTTTTTCTGTTTCCTCTCAGTAAACTGAACCAAAACCTCCTCTGTTTTCTTTTTATACAGAGAAAAACAAGCTCAAGTATGAATTGTTGCCACTCCTTTCTTTTTTCTCCTGTTTATCTCCTGTACAAATCCAAATAAAACCTGAAAAGCTCTCTGGGCTTCATGTCCCTCACTGCTCCTCTGCTCTCCTCCAGTGGGAGCCTGACACCTGCTGGCCTTTCTCCAGAACACCCCCCTTCCTCCTCCTGAGGGTGATCGGATTGCCTCACATTGTGTTTGAGTTCAACATGATCTCTTTCATTAGGCAACCAACATCAGAGCATGACATGTCCAGTCATCTTATAATGTTTGACGTGGAGTCAGGGAGGCGAGGTGGGGGTGGAGATGGCGGTTCTGGGAGCAGGTTGATCCACTGGTGAAATCTAATTCTTCAGATGGGACGGCTAATAGATATTGATTACCCAGCTGGGGCCCTGGATGCTTCATACTGAGACGATATTCACATAATGTCACTAATGCACATTGAATGCTAATTTTCAGCCAACATAATTGCCCTCTGTGGCAAAGCTTGTTCCCTCTGAATGCTAACAAGGATGAGCAGCATCATAGTACAGTGGGAGCGACTTGGCTGGGGCCTCCCTGACAATGAAGTGGTTAAAAACACTGATGAAGTCTTTATCTCTTTAATCTTTTATTTTATTATTTGATCATTCTTCTGTTTTTTGTAATTATTTAGGGTATTCTTATTTGACTTTCAATGCTTGTTTTGTTAGTAATGAGGTTTTGGCCTATGGTTTGCAATCATTGGTTAAATAATATTAATTATGTCTCTGATGCATTTTTTTATGTTTTTTATGTGTTCTATATCATCATTTTGTTCCTTTTTATGTTAACTCATGTCTCTGAAAGTCTGTCTTTTTTTTGCCCTCTTTTTTCTTATTTATTGTTTTTCAGATTATTGAACCTGAAAGCAGCTTCTTATTTCCAGCTGTGACTTGATTAAACAGAGGGCCCTTCCAAAGAGCTATAAGAACAGACAGACAAGCTGTATTCCTTTAATGTTTGAGCCATTTACATTTTTTTCATTTTATTATGCTTTTCTTTGTGGTTATACATATGTATGTGATTTTTTTTTGTCTCCGTTTTTATTTGTTCTTTGTGTTTTTATGCTCTTTTTTGTGCTTTGATTTTTTTTTCTGTATATAACTGTAGTTCAATAAATTCTGATGATCTTGTGATAACCTTTTGCATTTTTCTGGCTGTGTTGCTTTATTTTTTTGCTCTCTTTTATTACTTATATGAAACAAACACTGTGGCCATTTAACAGAAACAAGGTGTATGCAAACTGAGCTGCTTTAGGCCCAGGCCAGCAGCGAAGAGACCAAAATGGCCACAATTACTAAAACCCCAAATTTTAGATATGTTCAAAGGAAAACAAAGTGATTTAACATTTTCAAACTGTCTAATAACAAATCTTTAAGGATTTTAACTAATATATGTTAAGGAAATTATTCATAGTTTGATAATGAAATTAATTAATAGGTGTTAAATCTCGCTGCTCGCTATCTTTACAGTAGTTATAACCTGTGAGTAAAGACATGAATTGCCTTTCTGTGCTAGAAAGTTGTACCAACACACAACTGTAAGTCAGACTTTGATGTTTTAGTTTGTATTTTCACAAGGTGAGCTAGTGTACCTTTGTGTTTAATGCATTTGCTTGACGCATCACATTTGTGAATGAATGTTATGTTTTTCTCTTGGTTCAGATCTCTGCCATTTTTTTTTTAATTATCAGATTTGGGAGGTTTCGTCTCGGTTTTGTATAATTTGTACTTTTCGTTCCTTCGTTCACTGCAGGGAAAAACAAGAAGAGGAGTTTTCTCTATGGGATGATATGGAAACTGCTGAGCTCCAATCTCTAAATGAGGATTAGGTAAACCGGATCTTTTAAGCACTTTTTTTCCTATATAGATCATACTTTGACACTGTAAGACAAAGAACTTCATATTTTTTGAGAAATTTCCTTCACTTATGTAAAAGATCATTCAAAAGGGAAAACCTTAACAAAAATCGTGATCGATGCTTTTTAACTATGTAATGTATCATACCTAATGTTGAGAAACTGTTATTATATATTCACATCCTGATCATATAAACAGTAAATATATAACATGGAGGCACTGAATGATGTAACACTGGCAGTTTTATTTTCCAGAACTTGAATGTAGTGTCAAAAATTATTTACTGTCCAAAAATTAAACTTTTAAATTGAGTGTGTGTACATTTATTTGGAGGGGATAAAATAAAAATAGATTTACAAAAAAAAAATA